GTATACGTTTGACGTGTCTCGTATGTCTGAGTTTGTTTAACTGGCGTGAGCCGATGCTGTTTTCTCTGAAGAGGAAAAAAACAAAAAACAAAAGCTTTTTACATTTGCGTTAGTTTCTGTTGTTTTTTTTCTTGGAAGGGGGATTGACATCATGCTACAAAAATATATTCATCTTCATCACTATCGTAGAACTACAAGACAAGTCCTCTGTGCGAAAACACAGCGCCGGCTAAAGTAAGATTACAGTGCCACTTCAACTCAATGTCTCCTCCCTCTCTTTGTCTCTTTCTGTCTCTGTCCCTGTCTCTCGCTGTTGCTCACCAACAAGCAGCAACAAATGAGTCCAAACGGCCATGTGATACTGAAGGCAGTGTAGCTGGTACTTTCTGAGTGTTATGTTTTAAATTTTCGGCTGAAGGGAGACACAGTCGGGGGAAACAATGGGATGGAAAATACAGATGCGCCATCGATAAGCAAAGTAACAGCCATCACACCTTCAACTCGTAAATCGGTAAAAGGCACTACCTTCTCAGTGTGCCCCATTCCTCTTTAAGCGATGCTAACTGTACTCCGCGATAAATGGCGTTAAAACGAGGCCGTGTCATAAATACTCAAAAAAACCAAACAAAATAAGTAAATAATACGTGTTTTAATTCTAAATGTAAAATGCACTCCAGGATTTGAGATGATTCTTTTTTTTTTTTACATTCTTACTCATAACTAGTCAATCTCAGTTTTACACCGGTGATGTTGCTGTTGTTGCCATCAGTGTATACACAAACACACAGTTGAACAATATTTTACTTCATCGTGAAAGCAGCTTTGAATGGAAACGCTAACTTGGTGAGAAACAGTCACTTAAGCGTGAATTAGACCAGTATATACTCTTTTTGTAGAAAGTATCATAAACAAAATCAAAACAAAATGAAAATAAAAAAGTTTACTTTTCCATGTTTTCAATAAACATACCCTTTAGTTACATTTTGCAAAGCTTAAACATAATATTGACATCTCTAACACTTGATTATATTTACAATGCTTTGAAAGGAAATAAATATTTTCAATGGTGAGCACAGAGATGATTGGATTTTTGTATTTTTTTATCCCTAAATAAATGGTGTGTCCACTGAGACATGTTTTATTGCTATTGCAGAAACCCTAACATATTTTGAAGAATGAAATAATCAACCTCATAAAACATCTACTAGAGGATGGAAGATATTTTGACAAAGACTGAGCGTAGCATTTTGCTTCTGATATCAAATAAACTAAGCCATCAGTCAATGTTGATCAGTATTATAAATACATTTTTAACGTAAACAATATGATGCCTTGCCCATGCATATACACAAATATGTTTTTCCCTGTCTGTGATACCATGTTTAAATAAAATAGAAAAAAGCAGAAACAAAAGAAAACAGGTTTGGGTTATGTGCAGTTGTAGAATAGCATTCTCTTGGCTATATGTTTATATTAGTATTTTCTAGGTAGCATTGTCCCAGAGCTGAACAACACCCTCTCAAAAGTCAGTATTGTTATCCTTCTTTTTTCCCCTCTATTTTCTTTTTTCAAAATCTTCAAAATTTAGGTAAACATAGAAGCAATGCAACGACTGGGAATTCAAACCAGCATGGACACCATGTTTGTCTGAAAATAAACATTTTTTTTTTAGGAGGAATAAGAAAGAAAGTGAAATAATTACAGATATAATTTAAAAGGAATGAAACATGGATTAGTGTGGATTCATTCCCTGCAGTTTGGGCTTCTTATTCAAGTAGGTTGCCCAGTAGACCAAGTTAAAGGTTCCAAAGAGCAGGGGGAAGGCTATTCTGGCAATCCTGTCTATCTTGCTCACACTGTTAAATGTTTTCTTGGCCTCTGGAGGTTTGGGCTTTGGCTCCTCCTTGGGCTCGGTTGGGGGTGGCGGTGCGCTTTTTGCAATAGTGGCCAGTCCAGGGTCCCTGGCAATATTGGGCGCGAAGGCTGTAGCAGTGGCAGCTGGGTAGGCTGTGGTGTTGTTCTTCTTGAGGAGGGACTCCTTCTTCTTCTTTTGCTGATTTTGTTTTTGTGGGGAAAATATTTGGAAAAGAAAAAAAAAGGACAAAGACTTCGAGTTAAAGCTTTGACTATACATATATATTTGTATATTTTACAAAATTACAAAAGTGAATGTGTCATTCAGCAGCCTGGTGGCCATTCTGTAAAAATTATCCTTATTACGCTGAGAATTGTTATTTCCTCACCACCATATAAAATTGCATTTCTAAATATAAACATTAACCTCAGCAATCTAAGAATTAATATTAACTCCTATTTTTTTTTTTTTTAAATGCTGGAGAGCAGGGAAAGCTCTGCGCTGCTAACTGTAGCATTGAGACAAGTGGAGCAGAAAGCACAAGATGAACACTAAACTATTCATGTTCATGTCATGTTACTCAAATTGCATTTTCTATGAGATGAGCTTGTGAAAACAACTGAATGTTCCCTGCCTTGGCCTTTCTCCCTCTGCAGCTAAGTGCTAACTCTCCTGGTGCAAAATTGTAAACAGGACTCCATACATGTAATTTTTAACATTTATTTTCTGTGACTGGTGTCAGGTCTTATTAGGAGTTCATCTAATTCCTGGAAACACAGTCACGTGCCATATAACAGCTACAAGCCATAGTATGTCAAAGCTTTTGTTGGTTCTCTCTGTGTTTGTAGGTAGACATTATAAAAGAGGGGCCTCACATACCTTTTCTGGCACCACACTTTTTCCATCCCAGGCGTAACCCCTCTTGGTGAAGTAGTTGACTGTGGCAAACTCGATGAGGGCCGAGAAGACGAATGCATAGCAGACAGCGATGAACCAATCCATAGCTGTGGCATAGGCCACTTTAGGGAGAGAGTTCCTGGCACTGATACTGAGTGTGGTCATGGTCAGGACAGTGGTCACTCCTGCAGGTAAATACAAAGATCAATACATAGTTAGCACATCTAAGATCATATAGCTGCTATTATCACACTCACCGGTGTATCTCTCCATAGATAAATAAAAATCGGTGTCTGGAAACGTCCAACCTCATGAATGTTTATGACATAAAACATTTCTAGAGGAGTGATGTGCTGTAAAAATGAATTTACTGTTGACATAAGCTACCCTTTTGCAGTAAATTCAAAGTATTTGCTAAAATGCTGAATGAGGAAGGTACCATGATATAGGGACATCATATTGTGCATGAAAAGTGTTTTTTATATATATTAATAAATCCAATGAGCCTGCAGTTCACTCACATTAATCTATGTGAGCACTCTTGCAGCTTGTGCTTTTAATAGACTCGAAAGGTAGAGATCTCTACGGCTGCAGCTTAGAGATGCAGTTATAGCCTCAGAGATACTGCTGCTGATTAACAGCAGGAAAAAAATAGGCTTTCTCACTTAATTTGACCTCCACACCAGCGCCAAAGCACTCGCAATAAAATAAATCACAGTAAACAGTCTTTGTCCAAGGTGCCTGAAATAAGGAGTGCATGCCAGTCCTGGAAAATCAAATGCAACATTAGCTTCTGAAAGCTAAGACCCTGCACAGAGAGGGAGAAGAACTGGGTCACAGCGCAGCTAACAATGCGGTGCTCATCACAGAACAGGCTACTGCAGATGTTTACACACCAAATAACATCAGCCTAAGGAGCAATCACTCCAACAATTCAGCCCGGGCTATGATGTGGGGAGGTGAAGAACAGCTGGCTTGAACAGGAACTATGAAAAATGCAAAGAGGACCCTCCCACACACATGCTGTGTGTGCAGAAAGATGTTCATATACAGTACACACATGTACATGATAGCCTCACATACACACTTTAATGTTGAATAGATCCAAAGAAACATCTTCTTATCCGCTTCTTAAGATTTATTCTGAACATCAGAAGACGATCTTGTCTGAGTTGTCCTTCTCTCAATTCTGAGCCAACTTTTCAACTTTTAACTTTCAGTGTGACTTTCCAAGCCTTTGTTGATCCAGACAATCAAGTTTACTCTAAATAATATTCAAGAAGATGAAAGAAAATCTTTTTTTGATTAAAATATGAGAAAAGAAGAGGCCACCCTGCAGAGGCTCGACGGGAACAGCTAACAACTGAAATGAAAAACTAGCTCTGTGAAGAATATGGCTCAATATCTGCAATGACTATATCAGAGAGTTGTTTATTCAACTGTCAGTCAGTACTGTTAGGATCTATTTATCACCACTGCTCCTCTCTGTCAGTGTTTCCTTCTATTCACTTGATTGTTATGACTTTTCTCGACTTCAAACTTTCTCAGTTTTGTCATGTTTGTGACGAACTAACCATCAATCCATGTGCCGACTCCCCTGCCTCTGAAAGACCTCAGACAAAGCTGCTTAATTGGTGCTTAACTTAATTCTATAGTTCTTTTTCTATCGGCTTTTTAATTATTTACAAAGAGTTAGTGTAAAACAACGGTTGCCACATGGTGACCCTGTTATATTTGCTCAGCAGAATCAACAATAGTTTCAAGAGATTCAAGTGGATTATATTAACTTATCGTTATGTAATGTTTCTGTTATTGCGTCCACCACCTCCGAACTGCAAACACAGCTAATACTAAGTTATTACACGTGTCCTGTTCCCCCTCAGATTTATGGACTCTTCCTCCTCTGTTCTACTGAAGTGTTAAGAGATGAATCACTGACTCCTCATCCTCCCACTCCCTTTTCACATGGTTTTGGCATTGTTGACTCTGGTGCTGTGACATGAAGCATAAAGGATGATTATTACGTTCTCATTAGTCAGAGCCAAATAAATGATTGGCCATTAGCCATAAGCCAACAAGAAACCTCTGATGGATTCACTGCATCTGAATATTAGGTACAGAGGGTGCGTGGTCATATATTCCTGGTGTTCGTTATGTCTCCAGGGGAATAACAAAGTAGGTCAAAGATATTTATTCTGAAATAATTTGTTGTTGAAATTTTCATCGCATGGTCATTTAGAAAAGGTCTCGGATAGATAGTCAGTTTAAATGGATTAAAAAAGGGACACAGGAATTATTAAGAGCAACACTTGCTTAATCATCGCACATACTACAACTGCACTTAGTACAGCTTGAACAAATGAAAAATATGAATTATGATTCCAATTAAACATCCTCAACACAGCTCGACCTCCTGCTTATGTGATGTGCACAGATGGAGAGGGAGGATGTGAAGGATAAAGGTAGCCACAGTTGAATTCAGACACTGAGGTGTAAAGCCTGAAAACCATTTTTATGCTATAGTCAGTTTGATAATACTGTCATGTGATGTCATAAAATCCACACCTTGTTCCGCAACCCACCCACTGCTAAGTAGGGCATTGCATTGTTATGGGGGTGCATGGCAGCAGGAGATATGGAAATAATAAGTCATGCTTACTCATGTTTTCATACCAGATTTTCAAACGCCTCTATCTCAGCTCAGATTTATATTCATATACAGCTAATTTGTTCAAGATAAATGAGGAAATGGGACGCAGCTTTTTAAACAAAATGCAAATCATTAATATTCTCTGTTCGGTGAGACGATTTGTTTTCTACATCCCACAAAAAACAAATCTCATGCTGTGCTTAACACGGGCGAAAATCCAAACACTGGAGCCGCCTGAAAATGTTCCAATACCTCTCATTTTCTTTTTGTCCTGATCATGTGCTTTCTCTACAATATCTATGACAACCAAAGTTGATGCCATTTTAAGTTTGACAGCAGCGTGTTAAGATTTCTGCTGGAGTGCAACATTAGCATTAAGGTGTCACTGCTTTATGAGGTGGGTGCCAGAATAGTCTCCGTTGGAGCACAGCCAGCGCGAAGTGATTTCGCCAGCAATTATGCATACTCATGGCCTCGGCAGGTGCTGGAGCACAAAAGAGACAGCTCACATTCAGTGCGACTGTCCTTGTGGACTACAGAGCTAAGAAAGATGAACAAGTATTCAAAAGGACAGCTGTTATTGGGAACAACTAGAAAATCTATATATATGTCCAGGGGAGGATGAAAGCCTGTATAAGCATTTAGAGACATGTGAGGTGCAGCAGTAGAAAGGTATGAAAGACTGTGAATGAAGTTATCACATTACAGTGTTTAACCTGTCTTTTGTTTGCCTGTAAATCAGTTCAATTTACTAGAGGATGATGAAGGCAGCACCACTGGGTATTACACAAGTCCTTATAAAAGCATCCCGATGCTTGGAATCATATATACTTTACTGTGTTTGATAAGCTCTGTTGTCATGGAAACACGTCTTCCACCTCCTCCAATGTCTTAATACCATGAGAGAAGATTTTTTTTTTTCTAACTTCAAAGCTTTGTCGTGTGCACACTAATGTGTTTGAGTTTTATCTTTTACAATCATCTGCATGTATATGTGTGTAAAGGTGGGCAGCCAGGTTTGTGTTTCCCATCGCCCGTGAACGATCACCCCTTTGTGTCCGTCCAGTGACAGCTCTGCTTAGGAATCATTTAGAACATGAGTGAGTTGATTCATTAGAACATGACTCCAGAGCTCGGTTTAAATGACTCCATTTGACATGTTGTAACTAATAGACTTGAGGCTTTGAGGGCTGTTAATGAACAAAGTCACTGATCTGGAAAGTTCTAACTGGATTAATAGCGGAGTAACTCAATTCTGGAAAGTCCCTTCCACTCAATTTAGCTCAGTTTGCACAATCAGCGACACTTGATTTATATGATACATATCTTCTAATAAGATTTTAGCCCCTATTTGTGGATTCACTCTCAGATACACATATATAAAATAAATACATAATAAAACAATCTTTGGAGAAAGATGATGCAAAAATGCAAATATGGTGAAATTAAATTATAGATTTAAGGTGATCAATAACAAGGTGAGGCAGACACATCACTGCAGCCTCAGCAAAGGAAAAGTTTTACATGACTTAATGTCGGAAAATTGCCCAATGTGCATTTTTAAAGAATAACGGGAAGAAAATATCCACTTGGTTAATGAGTTTCTGACACAATCAGGTGAAGCGTATAGAGTTTTGATTTAATGTCAGTCGGTGTGATCAGTCTGATGGAGTTTTAGTGCTCAACTGTCTTTAGCAGCCTGTGGATCAGAAGATGAATTGCTCCAGACGTAGATAAAAATAAATGAATGGGCTCAACTTTGTTTGTCCTTTAGGGTCGAACAAAATTTTTCAGCATATGGTGAAAAGTATTTTTTTTTATTGCTATTAATGTAATTGATCACTCTCATTATAAAGTGCTCCAACGTCAGCATCTGATTGACAATCCTTCAATGACAGGCTTCAGCTAATCTGACCAATCTCAGGCAACTCCACTGCTCAGCGACTGGACCACGGCCAAACCGCAGACACATCTTTGTGGGGGAGAGTAAGCTTACAGGAAAATGTCTGCACTCTCTCTCTCTTCTCTTCCCTCTCTTCCTCTGCTTCAATTCCTCCTAATTCTAGACAGAAATTTGCTTCTGACAATGTTTTGACTGAGTCACAATAAATCTATCTTGACAATTAAAATCTGGGATGAGGTCAAAAGTTTATTGTGAAGTGGGACGTGTGCTCATTTAAAGAACACATACTTTTATAAACCTGCATCGAGGCAGGTTGCTAAAGAAGACCTTGTGATAGGGTTGCTGTAATTGAACTATATGTTCACGCACCACTGCTCCTGAACAATGATGGCACAGATAATACCTGCCATGCTTTTGCAAAGATGGAAATGCAATGTCAGAGCCTGTAAGAAAGCTTTTAGAAGACGCTGGGGTGGCTGTTCAAATGCAGGGCTCTCAATTCATTTCAATTCAGTTTTATTTGCATGGCGCCAAATCACAACATATACTTTCCCAAAGCACTTTGCATAGGAAGGGCAAGAACTTACATTGTTATAGAGATATATATATTTCCCACAATGAGTGACCATGCA